TGTATTATCCAAGCTATTAAATGATGTTGTCAAAGTTATAGCTCATCGTCTAAGGTTCTGAGATAGCGGGAACTTTATGTTTCTCAATGGCAGTTACGCCCCCTAGCGGTCGAATTACGAACTTCAAAATAATTTCCAGCTATTTCTCTTGGTCACTTTGCTTATAAGGATTTTTTTCCCAAAACTCTAGGCCTTACCGTTCTAGAGATACAGCCGCTCCGTACGCTTAACGGGACACCCTGTATACTACATTATACAAATTATGTACATACGTGAATATTTACGTTGAACAATAAAGGTTTGTTCGAACACGACAAGTTGAATCGTTCGGTTATAGTTCCAGATGCATATAGAATTTTCTAGCGCGCATGCGCGGTAAAAGTATAGTTCTAGAACTGCTGTGTGTTGGGACGGGTACGAACACATTTAGGGATCGGGTCGGTCGGTATTGTAGATAACGCCTACTTTATTTACCTAACTGAGCTAACCTAAATATTTGTTTTATTGTTGACGTTTTCTGCTCATTAAATTTAGCGAATAAAATTTTGTAAAGAAATTATTATGGACGGAACAACGTACAAATGGTCAGTAAATGAAACAAAAATTCTACTTGATTATTATTACACAATGAAAAGAAAGGTAGGGACGGAGGAAATCAAAAATATAAAAGAATTGTGGAAAAAAGTATCTGAAAAAGTAAGAGAAGGAACAAATTCGAGGATGAATGAACAACACTGCCAGAATAGGTGGAAGGTTGTTGAAAGAACATACAAAAAGTACATAGATAATGAAAGATCACCAGGTAGAGGAAAAAAATACTATGATTACATAGAAGAGATGGAAAAGATATTTGGAAAAAAAAGGGCAGTAAACCCCAAATTGCTCTTGAGTAATAATGATATTCACATCATTCCTGATGTGGAAACAGAACATACAGAAATAGGAGAGATTGAAAATTTGAGAGAAGTTGAACAACCTATAGAAAATCCACTTCCCATTGATAAACGTCCGGGAAGGAAAAGGAAAAATTCTCAAATTGAAATGTTACGAAGAGATAAAAAGAAATACTATGAAGAGAAGCTTGAAATAGAAAGAAACAGAAACACATTATAAAATTGAGTAATGTTGTTTTCATTAAAATAATTCTTTTCAAAAGAAGAGGAACTATTTGCGGTCTATTTGGAAAAACATTACAATATGTTAGAAGAATTCTCCACACCACACCCATACCAACAAACATCTGTTCTTGTTTTTTTAAGTTTCTTTATGTGTTATCCAAATATGGTATGTCCGAAGTTCGCCCAGGCCGGCAAACCCAATCCAACTTAACCCAAATTCAACCCAACCCAAGTATCTGATTCATAATAGAGAAAAACTTGGATGCGTGCAATAAAAGTTGCAGGTTCCTTTTCAAAATTTTTTTTTAGAATTTACCTCGAAATATCTACTAATTAGTTGTGATCAACTCTTTGTTGATCTTTTCGTGCGTCTATCTTTGCGTTCGTCTATTATCATGTCTGTTTCCAGTATTACACCTTTTTGCTCAACCTCCTTTTTCCATTTCCAGTCTCTCTTCGAGATATTTCGCGAGCTTCGCGTGTTCAATATTTGTGGCTTTCCTTATCCTTGATGATTTCAATTTGCCAGAATATATTAAGCAACCGGCATATCAACCAAATGTGGAAAAACGGAATTATTTCGTAATTTTTGTGACTTTCTGGACCTTTGGTGATTTGGTTCTGACAAATACTGATCATCGATTTGATCTTGTTAAAACCGGTTAATTTAAAATATAAGAATCCTAGTTTTAAGTATCAAGATCAATGAGTGTATTTCAATTCGATCTTATTCCGGGTGTATTAAAGCGCGAGGTCAATGTCTGTAACAGATGTTTTGCGCGAACCTTTTCGATTTTTTCCTCCATCGATTCCGATCAATGGAAAGAAAGTTTACGTTGACAGGAGGCACCTTAAAGGATTATATTAACTTCTGGCGCTTGGCCTTAATTAATTACTGAATTAATATCGCATATTTTTTCCGAACCATGTTTC